AGGAGCCCCCGCTCCTTCCTCTTCAGTGCGAGTGAGCACGAGCCTGGACTTTCGGGGACTCCCTTCCCCTAGCCTCGCAGAGACCTTCCGTGGCTCCCCGCCCCCAGTCCCGCCGCTCAGACGTGGCTGCTGGGGGGGGGCCAGGGGGTGCGGTATAAAGGGCGGGAGGCAGCGCGGGCCGAGACCCGAGACGTGGCGCGTCCACTCTGCTGGCCTCGACTCCAGGTACGTGCGCGTCCTCCGGCGGAATCCGGTCGTGTGGTGGGGGTGGGCAGGGACCGCCGGGTCCTCCCGATTCCAAGTTTGTGATTTTGTTCTTTTTGAGTGACATCCTCTTACGTGCTCTGAGCTGGAAACTTCTCAAAGACCGAGGAAGCTGCTGCGGGTTCTTAGAGGAGCAATTTGGGGGTGCACCTCCAGGCTAGATCGGGTCAATTTCAGCAGAGTTAAATTAGAGAAATTTAACTGGGAGGCAGGTCAGGGGGTCCTCAACGCTGAGCGTTGAGAGAGGAGCCCCCAGACGGACAAAGTCAACTTCTCCGATTACAGGGCAAATGTTACTTGTTGCACTTTTGTTGTGTCTTTCAACTTTATCGAGCAAGTACTCAGGGGAAATGATTTGTAATTGGAAAGCAAAGTACTTTTCAAGACTCCTAGAATTTGATACTTTGTTGCAAAACTTCCATATGGAACCTTGAAGGGCCGCGCTTGACCTTTTCCTTCTGGATGGGGGTGGAGGACAGCCTCTCTGGGGCCCTTTTTCTCCATCTTGGCCTCAGAGGATGGCTTTCAAGTTTCCCTTGCATTAGGAAACTCATGAACGCCCCTACCACTGCCATCTTACTGCAGTGACATACAGAACCCTTATGGCCCACTGTAACATAATCGCCCCAGAGCCAGCGCTGGGTTCTTGGGATTGGTGGTGCTGGGAATGGCCCAGTGTGCCCATAACTGTGCCATCAGCTCATCTCTGAAGCAGAGACTCCATCACTGGCTGCGAGGTGTCATGGCTCCTGCAGTAGCCAGGCACATCCAAGAAAAGGACAATACAAATTGAAATGGATGTGTCTTTATTTTCTGGAAGTATTTTTTTAATGAAAGAATTAAAGGAAAGCAGTTCTGCAGGTTTCCATGGAAGCTCAGCCCAGCCTCAGGTCTCCAGTTTCTCTGTAACACCGGTGATGGAGCTGCTGTGGGTACTCAAGGCCTCACTCGGATTTCCTTTAAGACGTCCGCAGGAAATGTCTGTGGCTGGGCGGGCCCCTGAGCGGCATTCTTCCCTGGGTTGTGCTGGGGGCACTCCGCCTGGTGCCTGGCAGCCGCCTGGCTCCTGGGGCCTTAATGAAAAGCTTAACACTTCTCCTCTGTGCTTGGCACATGGAGCACTAGCTCCGTTCCTGACGTTCCAGGTCTACTGCCTACGTGGCAGAGAGGCCCAGAAGCCAGCGCTCCTCCTGGGAGGAAGAAGCTCTAGCTGGTCTCAGCCAAGGTCTAGTGGGGCTGCTCCTGGGAAGGGGAGGGGGGAGGACACTGCCTTACACTTGACCTTGCAGTTCTTGGATGAATGGGTAGACCTGTGGAGCCTCCAGCCACCAGGGCAAAGGCAGATGAAAATTAGGACCCAAATGTGTCTGGCTCCTTGAGCTTACCCCTTGACACTCCAGTTAAAGGCATGTACACTTGCAGAAAAATCCTCGGCGTGTAGAGAGCTAAGCAGTGGGAAGAAAATAGCTTTCTACGCCATAACCCAGGAGGGCTGATAACATGACATTTAACTCAGTAAGTTATGTAACTTTGCATGCATGTTGCAGGGTTGGGAGGGAGTCAATTTTACAGGCAGTTTAGAGACTCCACTGAAGCATTTTTAAAATATGTATTTTTAGTGATAATGACTTACTAATTAATAATAAGAAAGAGTAGGAGAAATCAAATGATCATTTAGGGTGCATCCTTAGTTTGAAGTGAAACTCAAACTGTCATGATTTTGCCTTGTGACCTGGAGAAAGTTCCTGAACTTTTCTGAGCTGTAGTCTCTTCCCCGGGAGCTTAAATAAACCTGCTGGCACATGTGTCCTTTGTCAGCATTAAAGGAAAAAGAAGGTGGTGTTAAGTGAACTGCTCACCCAGGGCCCAGCACGAAAGTAGGCTCTCGACAACTCAACTTATTAACATAGAATCCACAGGTATTTTCTTTTTCCAAATGAAATTTCTGGGGTTTTTTCCTTTGAAAAGTCTTTGCTCCCTGAAGAACTCCTGACATTGTCACTTCTCATCACATTCAAAACTAGAGGTGATCATTTCAAAACCAAACTGTCTGGTTCTCTTCTTTTAAAAATAAAATCATAACTGTATTAAATCTATGCTGTATTAGGTTAGCCGTGCAGATCACATAAAAGACTGAGAAAACTGACCAAACATTTGGTGAAAATGATGAATCCTGGGGCGCTGATTCATGTGATTTGAAAAACGCCATCCATTTCCTGATTCACCTCAACTTCTGTACTGAAATGCGAAGGATCTCTTATGTCTCCAAAATAAGTAACTGATTTTGTCTTGTCTTTACTTCCCTCCTTTGTGCTTGAATTTTAGCCACATGGTTAAACTGCCCCCTCAGAGGAGAGTAGCAGGGAGGGGGCTGCTGGATGCTGGATGCTCCCAGAAGAGATCCCGATGCTGCTGTGGCTCACAAGTGACCTTAAAAGGAACCCTCGCTGTGTGTGAGCCTTAGGATGCAACGAGCTTGTATTAATATCCTGAAAAACCTCAGCCCGGAAAGCGTGGTTCTGGATGTTTACATCTTAACTGGATTTTCCTACCAGAGAGCCGGGGCACATTACAGTCTTCATCCGCAAGTATTCTCTTTTCAGTCCTGTTTTTCTTCTTTTATATTCATGGCATCCAAGAATTCACAAAAAGTGCTAGATCATCTGATCGACCCCATCAGTTGTTTTCTTAACATGGCCAGACACAGGTAAAAAGATATGTCATTTTATGCCCCACTCAAATTGCCTAGTCCTATTTCTTGTTCATGTATTTTAAGTCTTTGGAAGACCCATGGTTATGGTTACAGGTGACACTGTGCTGCTCCCCAAAGTTAGGACAGATGAAGAATCACCAAGAGGGCCGAGTTCAGGGACTCATCAGCTCTTCCCCGCATCCCTTGAGCCCCACCAGAAACTCTTTAGGATTTTTTTTTTTTGCCCAGGAAATGCTCACCCCACTTTTAGTGCAGCAGCCTACTGTCCTGGCAGAGGTAAGCAGACCAGGTTTGTTCCAAAAGAGCAGCCCAGAAACTAGGACAGAATAGAAAGAAAATAGTACGGCACATCTGAGAATGAGCATTAATGAGCATGGGACAAAGCGCAGGTTCCTGGAACTTAAATGGAAGGACCAGGTCAACCACAAGGACACCAGTAGCCTGCCAGTCGGTGCATGGGACACTCCATCTTGTCCCCTTCTCCAAAGTCTGAGTTTCCACCTGAGTCCATCCAGGGCCCGCTTCTGGCTTCCCGGGTCTGGTCAGGGGAACACGCTCTGCCACTGCTGGTTGTTCTGTGCAGGATGGCACAGAGTGACTTGGCCCTGGCCCCATCCGGGTCAGATCTGCTCACCTATGAGCTCTCCTGAGCTCACTCCACAAGTAAAAGCCCCCTTCCCAGACCTCACAGCCACGTTGAAGGGAGCAGCCTGCTTAAAATCCACCCACTAGGAACCACAGCGCAAACTCAAGGATGCAACAGCCAGAGCATATATTCAACAAGAAATGCTGACTTATTTTTGACTTAGAAAAGTTGCGTAATTAACCTCACTTTTAGGAAGGGCCTATTAATAAAAGACATTGTTATTTTACTTCAGCTATGTATCCAGAAGGTCAAAGTAGTCTAGAAATCTGAGTGTATTTTTTCCTTGTGTTTATGGTTAAATTTCTAGATATATTTTTCTAGCAACCCAGTTTCCTTAAAATAAAATAATATGCTCAAAATACCTCAAGTCATCTCTTTTTAAGTGTGGTATGGGGAGAAGAAAAAAATGCCAAGTGTAGAAGATTTTTGGAATTTCTAGAGGAAATGCAAATGACTTGCAGCATGGAGATAAAGCATTTGTATGGTTTCCTGAGAGTAATTTTCTGACTTTGAGCGCTGTGTATACCTTGAGTATCTATAAGCAAAGAATAGATGTACTTTAAAAAAAATATGTTTAATACTTATTATTGTCCTCTATGTTCTTCTGTCTTTGGAAATAGAGCTTTGGGGGAAAATAAATATGTTTAGAAATATACTTTCAAAAATAATGCTGATCCTACATGGATTTAGAAACACGGATTAGTCTGTCTTAGTGTGTTCCATCATTTACCAGGGAGATTAACACATAATGACCTTGAGTTCAATGAAAAGAATATCTTCTAAGTGAAAAGAATATCTTCTAAGTGAAATTAAACCAATAGGCAAAGTGTCTCCTGAAGCAAATCAGCTGGAAGATGAGCTGTCAAGGCTGCTGTCACCCATCTGCCAAATCTCATTTCAGACCCTCCTTTCCAGTCCCATAGTTGTCCCCTTAATTCAGAATGTCAACTTCTCTCACCCAAAATGCCAATGCCTCCTCTTACTGGTCCCCCTGTCACCCCCGGGTCTGTATCACTACATCCCAGTCATCATCTGCAAACAGCAACCCCCCACCCCCATCCTTAATAACACAGACCTCCTGATTGTATTTAAATTGCAATCTGCCTGGCTTTGAAAGAGAATTTTTTTCTCGCACCCAGGTTTGACCATGGAATTTAGCCATGACGAATAAGATGTAAGTCCACAGGATTCCAGGAGAGGTTTCATGAAAAGGGGCAACAACTACCTGGCATGGTCTTTCCAGCCCTTCCCTCTCACTTCCAAATTCCTGCCTGAAACCTGATGGTGATAGTTGAAATTCCAGTCACCATCTTGGACTTGGAAAGTAACTTTGGGATATAAGCCATGAGCTAAGGATAGCAGAGCTGAAGAAAAAAAAGAAAGAAAGGAAAAAAAAGAAAAGCCTCAACCTTGTGGAGCCTCCTTATCAGCCCAGGAGTGCTACCTCCAGATTTCATAACATGAAAAAGTAAGAACCTTCCCTTTTGTTTTATCCATCACGGTTTCTGTTCTGGTTTTAGCAGACGAATGTGATTCCTAACTGACAAGGCTATAAGATGCTTCCAGATCCAGCATCGCTGCAGGTTCATGTCTCAGCATTACCAGCTGTGCATCTCCTTCTCTCCCTCCCTCCCTCCCACTCTGCTTTCCTGCCTTCAACACAGTTTTTTGCCCCACGTGTGCCGGGCACTCACTACACCGTTAACAGTAGAACAGAGAGCAGCATAGCCAATGCCTGCCTTTTCGGGAATGACAGCCTGTCTGGAAAGGTAGGGGTCAATGACTGATCTCACAAGCATGTCAGAGAAAGCTCTGCTAGAAGCTAGGAAAGACAAGTTTAGGGGTGTTTGGCTTAGTCTGGGGAGTCAGAACAGGCATCATTGGAAAGGCGGCATTTGAGCCAACGTTGGAAGGTGAGTTGTGACCAACGAGAAAATAGGGTAAGAGAGTAAGATTCCAGGAGAGACCAGAAATGTTTAACTTTAGAAGTTAACTTATACACACTCATTAAAATATCAAGGATAGTTAATAGTAATTGCAAAAGAATAGCCATGGGTACAATCTTCTAAAACAGTAGAGAGGAAAAAAGATGAAATAAAGACAACGTGCTTAGTCCAGTAGAAGGCTGGAAGGGGAAAGAAGACAAATGGAAAGAAGCTGCAGACAGAGAAGAACTAGAAATTAAGTAAATATATAAAATCCAGTGATATCAGACAGCACAATAACACAAAGGGAAAAAACATACCAGGCAGATATAAGTCAGAATAAAGCTAGTCTACAAATACTAACCTCAGAAACACAGATTTTTAGATTAAACTTTTTCAGTAAAAATATTCACTATCTGAAAAAGATTCAGTCCATTAGGAAATGCAAATATGTATACAACTAACAAAGAAGTTTCAAAATGTAACAAATAAAAATCTACAGAATTGTGAGGAAAACTGGCAAATCCAGCCATTGATCTCACACATTTCTCTCACTAATTGATAGATTCACAGGGAAAAAATAGTATGAATTCAGATATCCTGAGAAAAACGATTAACAAGGTTATTCTAATGGATGCATCAAATTCTCATGCAACATCTACAAATCTTAAGCAAGTCTGGGGCCACAAAGCAAGCCTCGATGAACTCTGAATAGTTAGTACCATGCAATTAGGTTACAAATTAATAATTTTAAAAATAATTTAGAAAACTTCACATTTGTTGATTGTTAGCCACATTTCTAATAACACATGTGACAAAGGAGACACAATGGAAGTCAGAAAAATTCATATGTAATATAAAAATAGAATATATAAAATTTATGTGATGTAGCTCAAGTCATATATGCAGAGAAATTTAGCCTTAAATATTTATATTAGGAAAGAAGCAGTGACATTTGCTTCCAGCTTTACTGAGATAAAAGTTTAAGTTTATATAAGTTTAAGGTGTACAGTGTAATCATTTGACTTACATACATCATAAAAAGATTGTCACAAGTTTAGTGAACATTCATCTCACATAGTTACCAAATAAAAGAAATAGAAAAAAAATTTTTTGTGATGAGAACTCTAAGACTGAAATTAACAATCTACATGTCCATCTCAAAAACCCAGAAGAGAACAGAGCAAGGGAAATAACGTAGTTAATATTGCATATTAATGAAATAGGCCATAAAGATACAATAGGGAGAATGAACAAACCAAAGCTGTTATTAAAAAATCATAAAATATTAATAAAAAAGAAATAGACACATCTCTGACCAGATACATAACTCACTAGAAAAATTTAGCTTCAGAAAACTAAAGGAGAAATGAAAAATCTAAAAACACTTATAACTAGTAAAGAAACTAAGTCAGTAAACCCTTCAACAAGAGCAAACAGGTCTGCATGGTTTTCTAGGAAGATTCTCAAATATTCAAGGCACAATTTCTATTTTATGAAAGTTATTCCAGTGAATAGAAAAGTCATAGGCCAAAACTCCCCAAAATTCAAGGATGTTTTATCATTAGAAAATATACCAATATAAATTAGCTCATCAACAGAATAAATAAGAAAAACTGTATGATCATTTTAATAACTACATAATGCACTTTGTTAAAATTCAACATGTATTTATCATTTAAAAAACCTCTTAGCTATTAGACGAGTAATAGAAGACAATTTACCTAATCCAGTAGACTATCTACAAAAAAAAAATCAACAAAAACTTGACATTTAATTGTGAAAAGTTGGAGATACTTACTTTGCTTGAAAGAGAAGATTAAGACAATTACACACATATCAACACTTGCATTCAACACAGAAAGAATGATTGAAAAGAAAGGAACAAACTTTAAACTGCAGACCAAATAAGTGTCTCCAGTAAAACCACTTAAGAACATCTACAAATAACTAATTAGAATAAAGAGAAAAGTTCTGCAAGTTTGCTAGGTAGAATCTCAACACACAAATCAATTGTGTTCCCATAAACCAGCAGCAAATATGAGAAAATATAATTCAGAAAAGATAACATTAACCAAAAAAAAGTGATTTGTTACCTAAGAATAACATTGGCAAAAGACTTGTTGAACTTTAGTGGAAAACTTAGGAAACTAAATTTAAAGGTTCTAAAGAAGACTTAAATGAGTCCTACCTCACAGCTTTGTGTGGAATGATGCAGTGTGCAGTATCTTATGTGACATACTCATTTAGAAATGTTCATGCTCCCCAAATTCATCCTTAAATACAATGTGGATCAAATCAGGATCTCAACTGTCTATATGGACCTTAAGTAGATCCTAAAATATATGAGCAAGGCAAGAGCCCACATTTAAGAGTAGTTAAAGAATTTCTGTAAAAATGAACATGGTGGGTTGCAGTCATAAGACATCAATACTGTTCATAAAGCTGGAGCAGTTTTGACACTGAGATACTGGCACAGGGTAGACAAAGAGAACAGTAGAACAGAGCGCCCGTACATGGATTCCCCACGTACGCCATTTTTGCCATGTGACAAAGGGACTCATTGGGGGAGACATGGGACTCAAATGGGTCTAAGACAATTGACTATCCTGATCTAAAAACACTGAATTAGATACTTCCTTCAAGCCATTCATAGAAATAACTTCAAAGCAGATTAAAGCCAAAGTGAAAAACAAAACATTAAACCATTTAAGAAAACATATAAGCATCTACCTATATGACCTCTGGGTAAGAGAACAGTTGTATCAAAATGAGATACAAAGACTGCCTAAAAAGAAAAAGAAAAAAAATCAATACAGCAAACAACATTAAAATTTAGAACTTTCATATGGCAAAATACAACTTAAAGCGAGCCATAGCCTGGGAGAATGTTCAGTGCATACAAATGACAAAAGATAGTAGGCAGAATATATTTTCCAACTCCTACCAATCCACTGGAGAGGGAGGAAGCAGTAGAAAAATGTGCAAATGAAACAGGAAGCTCAATGGCAAATAAACATAAGACTAGAATACAACCTTCCTAATAATCATGGAAATTTAAAGCAAGATGGCACCATGTCAAACCAATCAGACTGGCAATAATGGAAAAGTCTGGCAGTACCAACTGTTATCAGATATTGGCAAGGGGAACTTTAGAGGTGTAAATTGGTACAATCACTTGGGAAGGCATTTTGGCCACTCTTACAAAGTTGAGAATTTACATCACACACAGCCCAGTTGGCAAAGCTGCAGAGGACGTGTAGCATACTGCCAATAAAGTTTTAAAACCAAAAATCCTATCTGTATAATGTATGGACATTTACACAGTAGGCAAATAGCACAGAAATGATAAGCCCTAAATTCCCGTCTGGGGAGGGTGGGGAGCAGGGAGATTGTGGAAAGATAAACAAAGGACACCAACTTTACCTGTGATTCTGTTTTCCGTTTAAAATAATAAAATATGAAGCAAATATTGAGAAACGTTAAGATTGGGCAAAGCTGGTTTGGTGGGTGTTTGTTAGATTATTATCCTCTTCTGTCTGCTTACAAGAGTTCATAATTCAATAAAGAAGGTTAATGGGAAGTAAGGAAGTACAGGCAGTAGGCAAAGAAAGCTCATTAGAGCGGTTTTGTCCTGAAGAGGAACAAAAAGACTGGTA